AAAGACGGGAGAGCTTGATTGATATATAATTTTCACTTCACGAGACAAGTGTATTATTGTGTTTACTCAATTTGTGTTTATTCGCATTCATCATTGTAAATTATTAATTGGCACATTGTACTAACTGTGCACCGGTACAAGACATCTCATACACTGTAAGTTGATGATTGCAATTATATTTCTTTTGTTTTGTAATTATATTAATACTTAAATAAATCCAAATTATTGTAACTAGTACTGTTTTGAGTGTCGTATTTTTGCTATTGTATTTCTCTGTGGTATCGTCCTTTGTTATGCCCTGTTTGAACGAGCCATAAAATTAAAATAAGAGATTAAGTTCTCAAAAAAGAACGCAGTGCGTAACACCATCTTTGTATTAACATCATATTAGCCATGTAAAGATAAACTGCGCTATAGGTGTAGAAATCATAGAGATAATAATCAATATGCTGTCCTCTATCAAGAGATCTGGCCAGCATATGGTCGAAATATGGTCAGCATATTGTCAGCATATGGTCAGGATATGGTCAGCATATAGTCCGCATACTATATGTGGTCGGCATATGGTCAGCAAATGATCAGATTGTGGTCATCATGTGGTCACCATATGGTCAGCATGTGGTCAGGCTTGTGTATTAAGATTACAAATAAGTCTCAAGCACATCTCTGGAACTAAAATTTATTTTAATCCCGTTGGGAAAATCCAGAATAACAATTAGGATGTATTTGTTTCAATAATTATTTTCCCCTCCCCCACTTTTTCCGTCACATCTCTGGAACTAAAATTTATTTTAATCCCGTTGGGAAAATCCAGAATAACAATTAGGATGTATTTGTTTCAATAATTATTTTCCCCTCCCCCACTTTTTCCGAGAGGACCCCCCCCCCCCAAGCACAAACACATTCAAACGACATTGCAAAAACTCCATTTAAAGTAGGAAAAGAACATTTCGTACTCTGCCTTCGAAACTGCAACGCTCCTGGATAAAATTCAAAAAGGCACAAAATAATGCGGTTCGCATTTTTCTTCGCAAACGTAAATTCGACAATTCTAAGACATTTCTGAGAGAGTTCCATTGGCTGCCGGTCCGCGCTCGCTCGCGTTGAGTACAAAATTGCAACTCTGTGGTACGGCTGCTTGCCTGACCTGGCACCATCCTATCTCAAAGTGTTCATGGCGCCTTATGTACCTACTAGACAACTTCTCTCATCCAATAGTGGCAAACTCTCGATACCGCGTGGTCGCCTTGAGACATACGAATGGCGACCTTTCGCATTTGCTGGTCCAACAATTTGGAACGCCCTTCCCGTCCATCTCAGAAACAACCAGACACTGGAGTCCTTCAAACCCGATTTTAAAACACATCGATTTCGCAAACACCTGCTGCGTTGAAGTTGTCTACCAACTTTTCCAGCTAGCTATTGTCTCCTAGATGTAAAGTGGTTTGTGTGTTTATGGTCGCAACGTTTGAAAGACTTTGGATGAAAATGCTCGTATGTAGTTTTTGTATTGTTGCGTTTTGTATTTCAATGTGGTGAAATATAGTTGTTGTTTTTTTTTCTTCTCTTAATAAGGTAACTTTGTACCACGCTTTGAGCCGTTCCGGATGAAGTGTGAGTTTCAAATAAACTTAATTATTATTATTATTATTATTTATATACACATATGAATCTATTTTAATATGTAGCCTCTATATTTATATAATATACATACAGGGTATCAAAGAAGTGTTAGCATCTCTTAAAATCTAATATACAAAAAATTACATTCACATTCATTTAAATGTATCCATTATGGCTTAAATAGTTTACTGATTTACGTATGTACTTAATATTTAACTATAAGACGTCTTCATTACAACAATTGTAATGAGTAAAAAAAACGGTCGTCTGATACGATATTTGTCATTTTGCTTAAAAAATTTTTAAAACACACATTGTTGACAGAAGATTTTACAAGTGGTGGCATGAAGATGGCACAAGCAGTACTGGAGCTCGTACGAGACATAGGGTCTCAGGGAGGCACAGTGACCCTCCGATGGATCCCAGGACACGCGGGGATCCCTCCACAAGACGGAGCTGACTATCTTGCGAGGCAAGGCTCTTCCCAGCCTCAATCTAACCGACCAATTATGCAACTGGGGGGCAAGGCCTGGATAAAAGACCTCCTCTGTGGGGAATGGATTTAAGAATGGGAATAAGGTACAACTGCCCGAAAACTTTACCGGAGCATGCTGAAAACAAACCGCAAGGGCGATCAATGGTGGAGTCTTAAACGCCTCCATCAGAGTTTGATCAACAAGATGAGAACAGATGTTAGGAGCTCTCTGAACAGGTCGCACCTACTGAGGGACCCGAGCTGCCGCCATTATGGACAGGCGCCGGAGACAGTAGAGCACCTTCTAGCCGAGTGCTCGTAAATTAGCGACTGGCATGACTGGGGTGCTCCCAGCCAACCGCGTCAAAAGCCTGATTTACGGGACTGCCCAGCAGAGGAGGCAGGCCTGATCCCTACCCTCCAGGGCCATTAAAGAGCAATAGCTCGGTCCCTTACAGTGGATGTAGTATTTCAATGGCGCCAACTGCTACTAATCAAAGTCGTGGAGATGCGGGGTTGTGTGTTGTGTGGGGGGGGGGGGCTCATGTTTTCTGATTAGCGTAATACGTAGCCTACAACTGTCAATGACAAACCATGACTTTTGGGGATCTTTCAGAAGTAATATTTGATATATTTAAGAAACAAATCTATTCAAGACATTAAAAAATATTGTTAATTAAAATGTTACTGCCTGACCCGGCAATCAATGCGAACATTTTGCCCATTGTTGATACAGCGTATTGATTTTTCGTGCTCAAATGAAGCACAGGTGCGCATTGTACAATTGAACCCACACCTTGCCACACACTGACAGATGTACAGGTCATTGAATCGATGGTTTGTTAAGATGACCTAGACAATGACTCTGACGTGTTGTAGTCATTGAGTCAGTCATCTGTAATAAACAGTTGACGAGGAAATGATTTTTAATGGGATTATGTATCTTCAGGTTTTAAGCTAACCCACGAGTTCTTAAAAAGCGTTATTCTCTTTTTTCAAAATCATTCCGCCCTCCGTTGGGGCGCCACAGATGACATGTCAACTATCCTCCGCCATTCGTCTCTGTCTTCTGCACCATAACGCACTGCATCGCCCAGTGTTAGTCCTGTCCACGCTTTGATGTTTTCCTCCCATCTATTTCTTTGTCTTCCTCTTCTCCCCCCTCCTCTTGTGGTGCCCTGCAATAATTCTTTGGCAAGCCCTTGTTTCCTTGTTACGTGGCCGTACCATTGTAGTTTGCGTTTTTTCATTGTAATAAGTAAAAAAAAAAAAAAATGCCTACTCCTATTCTGAAATCATGCATTGACGTCACAGCTCCACAGACAGCGATCGACTTGCTAATGCTAACGAGGATAAATAAAATTAGCCAAGCTTTACAGCCAAATATTGACCGTCTGTCGTAAAGTCTTCAGACGAAGTGGCTGGCTAACAGACGCCCTAATTAACATTCAAGTCGTACAATGCAGACTCAACACAGGCTTCCTAACGAAAAGTCGTCTCTCTGATGAGCTTAAACATACAACTTGCCTACATCATCACCAAACAGTAACATATGCTATTTTTTTTTTTTTTGGAAGTTTGTTTCTGCTTCTATTGTAGTACAAGTTGAGGCCCATGTAGTACAGGTTGATGCAAATGTAGTACAGAATGATGCGCGTGTAGTACAGGTTGTTGCACATGTAGTACAGATTGACGCCCATGTATTACAGATTGACGCCCATGTATTACAGGTTGACGCCCATGTATTACAGGTTGACGCCCATGTATTACAGGTTGACGCCCATGTATTACAGATTGACGCCCATGTATTACAGGTTGACGCCCATGTATTACAGGTTGACGCCCATGTCTTACAGATTGACGCCCATGTATTACAGGTTGACGCCCATGTATTACAGATTGACGCCACTTTAGTACAGGTTGACGCCCATGTATTACAAATTGACGCCCATGTATTACATATTTACGCACATATTACAGATTGACGCCCCTATACTACAGGTTCACGCCCAAGTAATACTGGTTAACGCCCATGTATTAAAGAGTGACGCCCCAGTATTACAGATTGAGGCCCCTGTAGTACACATTGACGCCCATATATAACAAGTTGACGCCCATGTATAACAAGTTGACGCCCATGTATTACAGATTGACGCCCCTGTAGTACAGGTTGACGCCCATGTATAACAGATTTGACGCCCATGTATAACAGGTTGACGCCCATGTATAACAGGTTGACGCCCATGTATAACAGGTTGACGCCCATGTATTACAGATTGACGCCCATGTATAACAGGTTGACGCCCATGTATTACAGATTGACGCCCATGTATTACAGGTTGACGTCCATGTAGTACAGATTGAGGCCCATGTATTACAGATTGACGCCCCTGTAGTACAGGTTGACGCCCATGTATAACAGATTGACGCCCATGTATAACAGGTTGACGCCCATGTATAACAGGTTGACGCCCATGTATTACAGGTTGACGCCCATGTATTACAGATTGACGCCCATGTATAACAGGTTGACGCCCATGTATTACAGGTTGACGCCCATGTATTACAGGTTGACGCCCATGTATGACAGATTGTCGCCCCTGGAGTACAGGTTGACGCCCATGTATAACAGATTAACGCCCCTGCAGTACAGGTTTAAACCCCTTGAGTACAGGTGACGCCCTTGTAGTACAGGTTGATGCCCATGTATTACAGATTAACGCCCCTGTATTACAGGTTGACGCCCATGTTGTACAGGTCGACGCCCCTGTAGTATAGATTGACGCCCATGGTATACAGATTGACGCCCCTGTATTACAGATTGACTCCCGTGTATTACAGATTAACGCCCCTGTAGTACAGGTTTACGCCCCTGTAGTGTAGGTAGCCTCCAATGTACGACAGGCTGATGCTCATGTCCTAAAATGTTGACATTTTTTTTTCTTTCTCTTTGCGTTTCATCACACACACACACACTGACTGGCTTTCTGTGTCTCGCGTGCTGGAGTTAGCAGAAGGTAGGCTCTCGTTTCATCATGTCATACATTATTGTAGTTTTAGCCTCGGTCTCTGCAACTCTACAGGACTGTATTATGGCATATTAACATTAATCTGTGACCCCCCGTTCATTTATAATTTAAGATTATTGTTTGTGTTCAGAACAAACTTTATAAAAAAAATAATTATCATTTAAAATGGCTTGATTAATGTATACATAAACCAATTGCTCTAATTTAAATGTGTTGAAAATCAGCAACTTTTTCCACTATTCAGAAAATGTCTCTGCTATAAATTATGTTACCCTTATTTTCTGTAACAAACTCTACCATTATCTTTAATTTATTTGTTATCAGAAAAATATTAGTTATGTTAAAGCCGTTTTAATTTGTTTTTAAAGAAACTATTTCCACACATTAAAATGGTTGGGCAAAAATACAGATTTAAAAAAAAGGGAAAAATGAAGAACGTCGGCATGATTCTCAGCTACCATGTCACCGAATAAAGGACAAAATATCTATTCTATTTTAATTATTTGATAAAAAAATTATTACAATTATACAAGATTAATGAATAGCACAGATCGTAAAATTCAAGACCGTTCCCATTTGAGTGAAGCATTTGATACTTTAGTTGGGGTTTTTTTTTTATAAGACGTAAATAGATTCCAAGATAAGATTACATTCACTCCTTAAAAGGACCGATGTCTGTTAGTTGCATGTTCTTGATAACGATCGTGACCCAGTTGAGCAGTGGCGTGCCTACTTGAACGAGTTAGGGAGAGGCCCTCCTACATGAATGAGGTAAGCAAGAGGCGTGCCTACTTGAACCAGTTAAGCAAGAGGCGTGCCTACATGAACGCGTTAAGCAAGAGGCCTTCCTACATGAACGAGTTAAGCAATGGCGTGCCTACATGAACGAGTTAAGCAAGAGGCCTTCCTACATGAACGAGTTAAGCAAGAGGCGTGCCTACATGAACGAGTTAAGCAAGAGGCCTTCCTACATGAACGAGTTAAGCAAGAGGCGTGCCTACATGAACTAGCAGTTGATAAATGGTGTGCCTACTTGAATCAGTTAAGCAAGAGGCGTGCCTACATGAACTAGTTGAGCAATGGTGTGCCTACTTGAACCAGTTAAGCAAGAGGCGTGCTTACATGAACTAGCACTTGATAAATGGTGTGCCTACTTGAATCAGTTAAGCAAGAGGCGTGCCTACATGAACTAGTTGAGCAATGGTGTGCCTACTTGAACCAGTTAAGCAAGAGGCGTGCTTACATGAACTAGTTGAGCAATGGTGTGCTTACTTGAACCAGTTAAGCAAGAGGCGTGCTTACATGAACTAGTTGAGCAATGGTGTGCCTACTTGAACCAGTTAAGCAAGAGGCGTGCCTACATGAACTAGTTGAGCAATGAATTGCCTACATGAACCAGTTAAGCAAGGGGCGTGCCTACATGAACGGGTTAAGCAAGATGCGTGCTTACATGAACGGGCTAAGCAAGAGGCGTGCCTACTTGATTTTGAATATAACTAGACAAAAGCGTTTGAAAAAAAAGAAATGAACAAATATGTTTCAAAAAATTGTTGTTTATAACCTAATATAGGTTCAGAATTACTTTCTAATATTAAGACAGTGACTTAAGAGACACTGTAACAGGATACTTTTACAGTGACTTAAGAGACACTGTCACATTTACGTATCATCGTTCACCCGATAACAGACCAATTATAACGCTTTCTTCTTCATTAAAAATGTCCTCTGTGTCCTATTTGTTCTCTGTGTCATAGTTGTCCTACGTGTCCTCTGTGTATATATGTCCTACGTGTCCTCTATGCTCTCTGTTTCGTCTATGTCCTACATGTCTTCTGTGTCCTACGTGTCCTATGTGTCCTATGTAACCTAAGTGTAATCTGTATCACATGTGTCCTCTTTGTGCAATATGTCTTTTGTGTCATTTGTGTCCTCTGTGTCCTACGTGTCCTCTGTGTCCTACGCACTTACAATTTTAATCCGGTTTTATTATAGAATAAATTTTAAAAAATTAATACTTAAGTCTTGTTATGTAATGAGGTCTGGCCGAGTATATTAGCAGAAATTTCTTTGGTTACTGTCTTCAAATAAAATATATTAGCCAAGATTTCATTGGTGACTTCATTTAATCCGATCAGCATTGTTTAAAATTATTGTGTTGGAATAATAACAAATTCGTACGAAATGACAAATGAAATGATGCTTGAAATACTTTCTAAAATGACGCCTAAATGAAGCCTGAAATGACGTCTGAAATGTCGTCTGAAATGACGTCTGAAATGACTTCTGAAATGACTTCTGAAAGGACGTATGAAATGACGTCTGAAATGACGTCTGAAATGTCGTCTGAAATGACGTCTGAAATGATGTCTGCAATGACGCCTAAAGGAGGTCTGAAATGACGTCTGAAATGACGTGTGAAATGTCGTCTGAAATGACGCCTAAAATGACTCCTGAAAATAAAAACGTTTGAACGTCACGCTGCTTCAGTATGTTGGCTTGTCAAAAATAACTTATTAATGAATTTGAAATCAATACTGTACACTTCATTTTGAAAAATTCCACTTACCTTAAGAGATCAGATCACGTCCCATCAGTAGTGCATGTTTATGTTTCAATCGTGGACTCACGTCCCATTACTACTGCATGTTTATGTTTCAACTGTGGACTCACTGGCACAACTTTTTGGCAGCGGACTGTTTCACTTCTGATAAGAATGCTTTCTTATCAGTACAAGTTATTATCGGCTATAAAAGCTTCTCATTAAAGTAGAACTTTGTCTCTTTCTTGGTGATTTGTCAGCCGAGGGTAAGTAGTCATAAATTTCATTAACTGATCGTCTCAACAATACAAATCCGGACAAATGTGTTTAGTCGTGTAATTAATTTGAATATTGGGAAATATTATAAGCGGTTAAAACCTTAAAATGTAATCTTAAAATTAAATTTTAGATTCCATGCCTGAAGAAAACTAATGTTTATGAGACATATTCGAAAAATATCAAATTGAAGATACTATCGTCCTTCCACATGAAAAATGTGAAGTTAGATATACAAGAATCCTACGATATGAGCAATATCAAGTAAGAGATACAAGAGTCCTATGATATGAATAATATCAAGTTAGAGATACCAGAGTCCTACTATATGCATCCGCCGAGAAAATAAGTTGATTTTTTTAAAAATATGTTTAAATATGTTATTAGTTTTACAGTTTTTAATTTTAGAATCCAGAGTTCAGGGTCATCAAAAATACTGAAGTGCTGTTTAAATTATTATACAATTTTACGCTAATGGAATAAATGTATTGTTTTCATTAAAGATGCTGAAACTTTTAGCAAAACAAAGTAGAGCAATAAAAGTAATATTGTTCAATTGTATGCTGTCATTGTTAGTTGGTAGGAAACACTTTGCAATAGAGTATAGAGAAATAAAAATAATGTTGTTAAATTGTATACCTTTATTGCAGGTAAGTACCAGTGAAGGATCTAAGGAACAATGGCCATCCTCACGCTAATGACGCTGTCAGGCCTAATGTCCGTACTGACCACAGTCCAGCCAGCGGTCATTTCCAAGAGAGCCACCATTGCTATACCTATGGATCGGTACCACAACTACGATGACATGCAACTAACACTGCACCAGCTCGCGGCTCAATATCCAAACATCGCCAGGGTTTACGACGTAGGCACTTCTGTGCGAGGCAGGAAACTGTCAGTCATTCAGGTTAGTATCCTAACATCACCAGGGTTAAGGACGTAGGCAATTCTGTGCGAGGAAGGAAACTGTCAGTCATTCAGGTAAGTATCCTAACATCACCAGGTTTTACGACGTAGGCACTTCTGTGCGAGGCAGGAAACTGTCAGTCATTCAGGTTAGTATCCTAACATCACCAGGGTTTACGACGTAGGCACTTCTGTGCGAGGCAGGAAACTGTCAGTCATTCAGGTTAGTATCCTAACATCACCAGGGTTAAGGACGAAGGCACTTCTGTGCGAGGCAGGAAACTGTCAGTCATTTAGGTTAGTATCTTAACATCACCAGGGTTAAGGACGTAGGCACTTCTGTGCGAGGCAGGAAACTGTCAGTCATTCAGGTTAGTATCCTTACATCACCAAGCTTAAGGACGTAGGCACTTCTGTGCGAGGCAGAAAAATGTCAGTCATTCAGGTAAGTATCCTAACATCACCAGGGTTTACGACGTAGGCACTTCTGTGCGAGGCAGGAAACTGTCAGTCTTTTAGGTTAGTATCCTAACATCACCAGGGTTAAGGACGTAGGCACTTCTGTGCGTGGCAGGAAACTGTCAGTCATTCAGTTTAGTATCCTAACATCACCAGGGTTAAGGACGTAGGCACTTCTGTTCGAGGCAGGAAACTGTCAGTCTTTCAGGTTAGTATCCTAACATCACCAGGGTTAAGGACGTATGCACTTCTGTGCGAGGTAGGAAACTGTCAGTCATTCAGGTAAGTATCCTAACATCACCAGGGTTTACGACGTAAGCACTTCTGTGCGAGGCAGGAAACTGTCAGTCATTCAGGTAAGTATCCAAACATCGCCAGGATTAAGAACTTAAGCACTTCTATGCGAGACAGGAAACTGTCAGTCATTCAGGTAAGTATCCTAACATCACCAGGGTTAAGGACGTAGGCACATCTGTGCGAGACAGGAAACTGTCCGTCATTCAGGTAGACGATAGTTATTCACGTTAGAACTTCCATGTCATTGGGATGTTAGTTTATCTCTGTAGTTTAACTTGAAAAAATCATTGATTGGTTCTGCAGGCAATCAATCACGATTGAAGCAATCACTATTCAATCAATCATTATTGAAACAATCATCGTTCAATAAATCACCATTCAGTAAATCCCCATTCAATCAATCAGCATTCAATAAATCACCATTCAATCAATCACTCTGAAGCAATAACCATTTATTCAATTAACATGCAATCAATCATTTTTCAATCAATCACCATGTAATAAATCAACATTCAATCAATCCCCGTTCAGCCAATTACCATTCAATCAATCACAATGCAATTAATCACCATTCAATCAATCACCGATCAATCAATCACATTTCAATAAATAACCATTACTTTCGGTTGTTCTAAACATATATTTATTACTAAGTATAATGTCAATATTTTAAATGTGAAAACGTAATTTTTTATTGATTTCATGTCAAGTAAAACATCACAGGGCAATTAGTTTATTTTACAGATAAAAAGAAAGAAACAAAATTGCAGAAGTATCCGCAGTTTTATAGAAGCGTTAAATCTGGTATTGCAACACAAAACCCGCGTAGATGAAACACATATTATTAATAGACTTACATAAAAAATTATAGAAGTTTCCGTCTATTTTTGCTGATTATAATTTGAAATAATGACAATGTCTTAATAAATATCGCTTTTTATTCATCATCTTAGCAAAAGCCCAGTTTCACTGAGGTTAACTCTCTGATACATTCTAAGCATTCAAACCATCTCGTTGAATTTTATACTCAATCATTTACATATGTCTATGACCCCCCCCCCCCCCCCCCAATCAAAATGAGAACTGTGTTTTACATTCACTGTCCAGATTTCAGATCACGTGACACAGCGAGAAGTTGGCGAGCCCAGGTTCAAGTACATCGGAAACATGCACGGGAACGAGGCTGTTGGGCGTGAACTTCTCCTGTACCTCGCCCAGTACCTTCTCCAGAACTACGGCGTAGACCCCAGGGTCACCTACCTGGTGGACAATACGGACATCCACCTCATGCCGAGCATGAACCCGGATGGCTTCGAGATTTCACGAGAAGGAGATTGCTCAACCGCTTACGGAAGACCAAACAGCAATGGTATGTCTAATGTATATTTCTCTTCTGGTGTGGCTGGTTACTCGTGTATCATCCTAAATAAAACATTTTCTTTAACACAAATAAAACCAATTCCAATGACAATGAATACACAACAAAATACCAATGGAAAATTATATAAAACAAAAATACCAATGACAAAGAATACACAACAAAATACCAATGGAAAATTATATAAAACAAAATACCAATGACAAAGAATACACAACAAAAAACCAATGACTATGCAATATAATTAATTTGCACACAGTTTTTTTGTAGTTTTTTTACTTCCTTTTGTTGATACGTAACCTCATTGAACAACTTTAGTATAAGTCTGCTTCAGATGACATTATATCACATCAACACTTTTTGTAAAATTGTGCTTGCTAGCTAGCTACACCCATGGTAAGTCACGTTGTATATTCATTAGTGCATTAATTATTGTAATTTTATCGTCAAAAGATTGTGCCTTCTTATAATAGCTTATTAAGCATATTATGTGGACTAAAATAGCTATCTGCTGTTATCTCAGATTCGAACAATGTCTGATAAGGAGCAATGTCCAAAAAAAAAAAGCCTAAAGACCCCGAGATGTATTCCTTTACCACAAACCATGAACATGGTCAATGGTCCACCGAGACGACTTGGTTTTCATTATACAAAGTGATTCAATCTAACAAAACCAACGAAAATGCAACAACAACCTCCCATATGTATTCCATAGATTTTGAGACAATCGAATGACTAAACACAATGAGTATAGTTCTTATCTCATATGCTGCATACTGTTCTACTTATACCATCACACAAGAAAATGAAACTTACAATGACAGACGCACTGCAGACATGACCACGCACGACATGGTTAACATAGGCCAGATGTCAAACATCGGTTATTTGTTATTGACTTTTTTCCTCCTGATTTGAAATCTTTTGTTCTGTCGGTTCAAATTTACAAATATACGCTCAAGAAATTGCTTCCATTGTCTTATTATAATGCCTATTGGATGATACTTAATAGAAGTCTCCAGAATTATTCCTTTCTATGTGTTTTTGTTCGTAATCTGTATAGTGATGAATGTGGTCATTCTTCTCGCTTTACTAAATTATGTACAAAGTAAATGACCAAACTTAAGGAATGGGGAAAAAAATGGGAATAAAAAAACAGTTTAGATCATACCTTACTGCCATGTTGATGAAATTTACGATAAAAATTAAAGATAAACTCCAAAGGTTTGTGCGTCGCTACTGAACATAAATTATCAAATGCCGAATTGCAGGGCAGGATTTGAACAGAAACTTCCCTGACCAGTACTGGCAGACCCCCACGCCACAGGTAGAAACACTTGCAGTAATGAACTGGATCAGGCAACAGCCCAACTTTGTCTTGTCTGCCAATCTTCATGGAGGAAGTTTAGTGGCCAACTACCCATTCGACAATACCCAAAACAGTGCTGTGCAAGAGGTGACAAAAGCTTGAAATAACGACTCACAATTGCCTTTTGAATCACAGTTATTTTTCCACAACAATAACTTTAGTGAAATAAGCTTTTAGTTATTTTTATTCTAATGTTGTTTGTTGTCACGATCACTTAATTTGGCCTATTACGATTACTAGTTAATTATATTGTAGCCGTATGGTGGTGTGGCTTATTACAGTTTTTTTTTTTTTTTTAAAAGACACAATTCATGAAACAGGTTTGAGAACTAAAGCTTTTTATTCTTCGGGTACAGTCCGCTTAACAGACGGTCAAATAAGCCGTTCTCACACACAATAAACATTATCAATTTACACACTCAGCCAGGCCCCCCTGGTTTAAACCCGCACTCCTTTTTTTTTTTTTTTTTTAAAAGACACAATTCATGAAACAGGTTTGAGAACTAAAGCTTTTTATTCTTCGGGTACAGTCCGCTTAACAGACGGTCAAATAAGCCGTTCTCACACACAATACACATTATCAATGTACACACTCAGCCAGGCGCCCCTGGTTTAAACCCGCACTGCCTTATGTTGCTACTGTGCCATCGACGTCATGAGCTGTTCACCGATCCCCCCGTGGGACAGGCATGCCCCAGCTCATGGAATCTGAACATGCCTGGCGTAAACAATCGTGTCACAGGAGCATGCTTCTTTGCCCCCATAGGTGGCATCCTGCCACATAGGCGGCACCCAGCCACAAAGAAAACTGTTACATGAATGCATGTTACAAAAAGTGGCGCATTGCCACAATATTTAAAAACTTTTCTAGATACGAGTTCGTCTGAACTAGGACAGTGCAACATTTATAACACCCATTTTATAAATGTCAAACAGAACAACGATGCTGTATAAGATATGTAGATATATGTATATACATATATATTATATATATATATATATATATATATATATATATATGCTGAATCTTATGCAAATACGCTATATTTCTTACACACCCCACCAAAGCTCTCAATCATTCATATTGAACTGTAACCTACTTTTAAATCTTATCTGATTTATATTTCTCCCTGGTGTCTTCAGAAATCCCCTCAAATGTTTCACATGACAGATCCGTTTCTCTCCAGGGCATTTCCAACCCATCCCCAGATGACGCGACCTTCAAGGTTCTGGCCAAAAGTTATGCCAACGCCCACCCCACAATGCATCTGGGTAAACAGTGTTCCGGCGACGACTTTGCCGGGGGTATCACCAATGGCGCCAACTGGTACTCTGTCTCTGGTAAGTACGTCACGCGTTTGACCACGTGTTCATACTTTTTTTTTTTTACCTCGAAATCTGACAATGTTTAAAACGTGCATCTAAGTGCAGACAATTTGGTGAACTTTATAATGTAAGGTGTTGATGATGCCATCTATCTCATCTAATCGTAGGAGATATCAAAGCTAATACCAGTACAAAGGAAGTAAATTGTGCTCACATAACCCTTAACAATACGTTTCGCTTTATTTAAATACATTTATAATTTAAAAAAAAATATATATTTTCATGCATTATTTATTACTTTGACCAGGTTTGCCCGATGTAAATATATATACCTCCCGTTATAGGAGCTAACTCATTATTTTGAAACCAACATAACTTAACGCCCTTACTAACATAAAATCGGACTTTGTTTTAACTACGTTTATATGTGTATGTGTATGTATGTAATAGACACACTGAGTCCGTAACAAAGGAGACCATGTTAACTATGTTTAAACCGAATGGTAAACATTAATAATTTTCTAAATCCAAAATCTCATTTTAATTCTTGCATAATGTTACATTTTGACAACACTACAGTTTGTGCTTGAGGGTTCAAAATTAGCTTTAAAACAGGCTTCAAGATGGGCTCTGCTTTGACTTATCATAATAAAAAAGTCCACCTTTTTCCGGGCTCAGACGATTAAAATATTATGTTTGTCATAAATAAGTTAGCACGCAATAATAAATAATAAGCATATGATATATGACCGAATTTATAAAATTACAAGATGTTACAAAGTTTCAATTTCTCCTCTACAAAAGTGTGTAAAATACATTGTTTTTCACTCTTTCAATTACACGTTACACGTCTTTCACGTAGTCTCACGTAGTATCCCCCCCCAAAAAAAAAATACTCTCAGAAGAGTAACAATGGTGTTCCAAGACGCATTACGTTCCATGGGCGCCACTTGTAGGGCTAGGCAAATTGACGAATCTGACACAGATTTTACTTTAAAAAAGAAATAATAATTCGTTTTTTGTTTTAAGATACTATATCTGTATTGAATAAGCTACAATCATGCACACTTAAGCGTTTGAGATAGTCTACCTGTAATGAATAAGCTATAAAGCTACACGCCAAAGGGTCAATAGTAATAACATAAAACCATATGGTTTATTTTAGCTTGATGCTAGGATATAAATTATAAGTCTTGCCGTGTACGGCATCATGCCCTTCGTACGGCATCATGCCCTTCGTACTTCGTACGTCTCTGCATACAAGACCAACACTAGGTCAGAAATATACGTGTGAACGATTCATGTCGTAGGTGGCATGCAGGACTACAATTACCTCCACACCAACACCTTTGAGATCACCCTGGAGGTTTCCTGCTGCAAGTACCCGACTAGTGACCAACTGCCCTCATTTTGGAGAGACAACAAGGAGGCGCTGCTCAGGTACATGGAACAGGTGAGGTGGTAGTACTAGGACTATTTGGTTTTTCAATCTCTCCATTTTTGTTTTGCAGTTAAATTTCCTCAGCTCTAGAAAGTGGCTGTTTTTGTTAATGTTTTTTTGTGTTTTTGTTGTTGTTTAAATTAACAATTAACATACATAGATGTGATAGGGTGATTGAAACGAATTACTTTACAATCCATGTGCATTTTTTTATTACAAATCCGTTTGCTACTTTACCTCAACGAAAGTGAGTTTCTGATTTTATCATTCATCAAATAACTATAACAGCTCAGCATTCATCAAATTACTATAACACATCTTCTTTCTCTGTTTTTTTTTTATTTTTTTTTTTTATTTTTAAATTAATGAGCCCATTATTTGTTTGTTTTTTTCCATTATAAGTTATGAGGGACTGCATTCATGTCTTGTAAAAGTAAATAAATAGTGGACAAAAATATGTGTCAGCTTGAATATCAAAGACAAGACTATTGTCTTTTTAATTTAAACCCAAATATACTTTATAACGAGACTTCTTGGTGCTGCAATGAAACGTCCGTCCATTATCAAAAGACTTGTCAGTACACCAATTCCTTGCTTCCATCATAGTTTTCAAACAGCGCTGTCATGAGCCACCCATTATCGATAGATTTCTCCACCAACTAATTCCAAGCCTCCGTCATTGTTTTCAGACTCACACGGGGATCAAAGGATTGATCGGAACGAGGTCAGGTAATCCCCTGCCTAATGTCAAAGTTCATGTGTCGGGTATTAACCATGACGTCACTTCCTCTGACATTGGCGAGTACTGGAGGATCCTGGCTCCGGGGACTTACACCGTCAGTTTCAGCTCACCTGGGTAAATAACAATGTTGCGGTCTTCTTCTATAATATTATAGTACTATCACCTGGGTAAATAACAATGTTGCGGTCGTCTTCTATAATTTCATAGTATTATCACTTGGGTAAATAATAAAATCCAAGAAGCAAGACAACATTGGCGTAGCCCCCCCTACTAGAAAATGGACAACTTATAAGCGATAACCAATGCAAAGCATACATTCTCTTAAGGCAGTTTCAATCCGTCTTCACCAAAGTTTCAACCACAGTCATACCATCCCTAAAACCATCACCTGGTTCAATAGGCCCCCTCAACATAACTGAAACATGAAGCCCAATAAAGCGCCCGGACCAGTCTGTATCCCAAAAATTGCCCTGAAGACCCTGGCTGACAACATTGCCCAAACCTTAACCTGCATTTTCCAAAAGTCGCTTGACACAGGCAAACTTCTGCTAGACTAGCTTGAAGCAAATATCACTAGTGCCTACAAGAAAGGTGACCGCCATAACCTAGAAAACTACCGACCAATATCCCTTATCTCCGTACCATGCAAAATTCTAGAACACACCATCTGTCGCCACATTATGAACCTTCTTGAACACTACAGCATTTTGACCAACCTAAACCACGGTGTCCGCTCTGGAGTCTCAACAGAAACTCAATTAATCATCACCACCAATGACCTCCTCTCCTCCTATGACAAGTGTAAACAGATCAACATGGCAATTCTCGACTTATAATAGGACTTCGACACTGTTCCACACAGCCTTCTTCTACACAAGCTCCACCACTACGGCAATACCGGCAACCTTCACTCCTGGCTCTCAACATTCCTAACACAAAGGACAATGCAAAAAGTGGTTGATGGTGTCCGATCAAGCAATGCCTCTGTAGACTCAGGAGTTCATCATGGTACAGTGCTGAACCCCTTTCTCTTTCTCTGTCATTTAAACGACCTCCCTGATGCTATAAAATCTCAAGTGAGGCTGTATGCAGATGAGTATCTTGTCTACAGAGAGATAAATGTCTACGATGACCACAACCACCTCCAAGTGCGTTATGAAATATGCGGACAAATGGGGCATGAAATTTAACGAAACCAAATGCTACACAATGAGCATCTCAAGAAAAAAACATCAACGTACATGTACTCTCTAAACAAGAACTTTCTCCAACAAGTGTCAATTAATCCATACCTTGGAATTCTTTTCTCTAATAATCTAAAATGTTCACTCCATATAAACACAATTTTAAAAAAAAAGCCAACTCCACACATGGTTTCATTCGAAGAAATCTTCGCCACTGCCCAACATCCTGCAAACAAAATGCCTATCTAGCACTCGTCCGTTCGTTTCTAGAATATGGTGCGATAATCTGGGACCAAAACGTAAGGCAAGACGTGGACAAAATTGAGCGAACACAACGCAACGCAGAGCGCTTCATCGCAATTGACTACAAATCCATCACTCCTGACTTCGTCACCGATCTCTTAAAAAGATTTGACATCCCCTCCCTCAAGAGAGAGACCAGAAAAGCTCCGTCTAACATTTCTCTATAAAGTGATCACGGGGCTAGTGTTGGCCATTCCAGCTAACACGTATCTCACCCCGCAGAAGCCAGGTCGCTTAATCAGAGCCAAACGCTCAATAACCACTGACCTCACCTCTGACAACTCCATGAGCATTTACATCCGGAACAATGATAAATGCTTCAGTGTGTGCCTCGGTGAAACACAGTCCAATATAAACAGTCATTCTTCGCACGAACAATAATTGCTTAGAACCAACTAGACGATGCCGCCGTGGACTCCAAGTCAATCGAGAGTTTCAAGGCTGCCCTGGCACCCGCTAGGAGCGGTTTGGATAGCTCATCGTTTCCCAAACCGCTGCACATATGCCAGTACTTGGTTCCAGCAACGTAGTCTATAAGAATCAGAATCAGAATCGTTTAAATGTTTAGTTTCAAAGTGTAAAACTATGTACAAACATGAACCCCGGCTTCTCAGATCTATGCGTATTTTAGTCGTCAACCATTCAATAAGTTTAGACATAAATCACATGTAGACATGAGTTTTCTTCTTTGTTTTATTTGGATAGATACACAACTGTGACAAGAACTGTAACAGTGACGTCAGGACCAGCTGTCGTTCTTGATGTAGCGCTCAGCACGGCCACAAGGCGATGGTTGTACTGAAATAGTCAACGATAGTGCAACGTAGCTTTACAACGGTGATGACATTCCAATAAATAAATACAAAAAAATGTGTCATTATTCTTATGGAACTCCATAATTTGTACTAGCCAATCAAAATTGACTTTTAGAAAATAAAACGTGTTTGATCATTTAAATTTTGTTTGCTGCAATATCGGTCAATACTTTTGAACGAGTTTTGGCTGATACTCGTCTATAGAGGTACGTTCCCTCCGTACGGACACAGAAACAAGTTCTGAGTCTTGGTTGCTTTCTCTTAGCCCTTAGAAAGCTGATGTGCAGTAAACAATTCACACTTAAAAAAAAAAAAATTTTGAGTTTTGGTTGCTTTCTCTAAGCCCTTAGAAAGCTGATGGGAAGAAAAAAATTCACAATTAAAAAAAAAAAAAATAAAAAAAATAAAAAAAAAAAAAATTTAAAAATCACATAATGGTTTGAATAAAAATAAAAGTATCCTTTAATTATCTATTTACTGTGTTAAAACACAGTGCACAATTTTAAAAAAACAGTAATAAGGGCGTTCACATTAAAATAAAGTAAATTTCTGTTCACTATCAAAGATGTAAGCTCAACAAACCAATCTTTAACTCCTCAAAAACATGGTTTCTTGTCGCTCATAACAATAATTGCACACCACCCAGGAAATAGTGTGTCGTAGCTCATTCGCGGCTGGGTCAAAGTGGTGCTATTTTAGGGGAAATACACTGACAAAAATTAGACAAAGAACGACATCCTGTGATCTGACCGGTACACCAGTGAACTAGGGCATCTGCTCCGGTTCGTTCAGAACCCGTGGGAACCAAGTGAGTAAATCGGGGCCCTTCCCGCGTGTGCCCCCCCCCCTCCTCCCCAAGGCCGGAATTTTTGTTCATCGTCCACCGATACTCAAAAGCGTAAGTGTTTTGTATCTTGAAATTTACCGAAAAGGAATTTCGGATTTGTTCGAGTCCAAAACATACTCTGCGTGGTCCTGAGGATTCCTAATTGAAAGTGTATGCTTGAGAGAAAAACGTTTCTTACAACGTAAAGATCAAATGTCCGGTTTAAAGACAAGTGCTTTAAGTGGATTTGTCACTTAAAATTATTATTATTTTTTAAAAACGTATTGCTTTCATTCTGTGGAGCTTCCTAAAGACTTTGGTTTTCAATACATGTAACTGTCAATAAAGCATAATTATCTCACTATTTTTATAACATTCATCAAAACATGATTATCTCACTCTTTTTACAACATTCACCAACCATGATTATCTCACCCTTTTTATAAGATTCGCCAAAACATGATTATCTTGCTTTTTTACAACATTCAACTAAACATGATTATCTTGCTTTTTTTACAACATTCATCAAAACAGGATTATCTTGCTTTTTTACAAAATTCACCAAAACATGATTATTTTGCCTTTTTACAACATTCACCAAAACATGATTATCTTGCTTTTTTACAACATTCACCAAAACATGATTATCTTGCTTTTTACAACATTCACCAAAACATAATTATTTTGCTTTTTTACAACATTTACCAAAACATGATTATCTCCCTCTCTTAACAGCATTCACCAAAATATGATTATCTCACTCTGTTTACAACATTTACCAAAACATGATTATCGAGCTCTGTTTGCAATACTCAGGCATAAGAATGGAAGGGGAGCTAAAAACCAATCCTCACTCCCTTACCAAATATTTCATATGACAGCCCATGGTAGATTCAATGCAGTTAGCTACAGCAGTGAGATACCCAGTGGGTCAAGCAGAGCGGCGTATTTGGAATTCGCAACCCCTGCCAAATTAGTTTGCGTTTCACAAACATCTTTTGTTAATTCACTCAAGTGCTTCCTACATTTCTTTGATTAATTCACTCAAACGTTTCCTAAATTACTTTGATTAATGCACTCAAATGTTTCCTAAATATATTTTATTAATTCACTCAAACGTTTTCTAAATATCTTTGATTAATGCACTCACGTGTTTCCTAAATAATTCATTCAAATCTTTCCTGAAGTTTTGATTAATTCATTCAAATCCTTACTATAATTTTTTCCTTAATTCACTCAAATATTTCCTAAACATCCTTCATTAATTCACTCAAATGTTTCATAAATATTGAAAAAAACAGAGCAATGATTTTTTTTTTATTTTAAAATAACGATACTAAAAAGCCCTATTGAATTTTATGTTATTTTATTCACTCACAATTCCGTCAGTATTAATGTATTCATATAAGCATGTTAAGTTTCGGAAACAAAAACTAATGCCAGAATATTGCTTAGAATAATTTTTTCACGTATGTACTCCTTCCCCTGTATGCATTTATCGTCTGTGCCAAACACTCGTGAATGAAACGAGAAGACATTTTTTTTAAAAAACTATCTTAAGTTTACAAGGTACAAGGTATTTTTTTTCCTCTGCTTTATCACGTTCTGCCCTTTAAAAATGTAAACACAAGTTGCAGCCAAGCGGTGACGCATTTGGGGGGGGGGATGTCAAAGTGCATTTTAAAGTTCACTTGGCGGTGACCTATAATGAGACAAACCATATGTGGTAATTTATATGTGATAGGTCATGGGTCCAATCTCTTTGATCTGAATTTTGTGATGGTATCTATATTTTTTTTTTCAATTTCATATTCAATTATATATGGGAATTATCAGAATGATAATCCTCATTTTAGAAGACGTAAAATTACACCCAATCCAAGTTTCATAAGTCTCCACGTATGTTTTGAATATGATGTTTGTGAATTGTAATTTGGTAGACACATATGTGAATGTGGAATGGTCTACATGCTGTGAGATTTGTAACATCCATCCATTTACATAACTTAATGATGTTTATGTCTTGACCTAATAACGATAACCCTGGGAGAAATGAGCATGTCTTGTAAATGAATTATGGCCAGTTACAATGTTTTCAAACTAAACCCCAATAGGTTTACCTCAATCAGAGAAAGACTAGGGTGGGTAGATAGGGGGTGGGGTGGGTGATGATCGTCTCTAGTGCACTTTAAAGGGTACTGCATATTTAGTTTGTTATATTGAAATAAATGTAATTTCAATTTATTTTAGGAAAAAGAAAATAATTTCTTAAAAATACAGTGAAAATCAAAATGAGTCATTTAAAAAAAAATTGTTGCTCTTGGAAAATTGTAATCTTTACTTACAAAGCGAGAGTATTTTTTTTTTAAATCATAGGAAACTAAGCAGCAATATATATAATAAAATAAAATGAGTAAAACAGAGTATGGTTAAACCTGAAAAATTAAACGCAACAAAACAGCGAACGTGTCGGCAGAAAGCCTTCGTCAGCGAACAAAACAACAGAAAAAACGTTATAAAAATAAGAAATAGCACTTAGCTGGTAAGTAGTATCTGTGGGCAGCAAATGAAGTGTGGCAGAAGGAAAATGAGTGAGAGTTTAAATAAGCAGCGGCAAAAAAAGGGGGGGAGAAAAAGTTCACTGTGATAGGTCAGAACGTGGAGGGGCGGAGCTATGGTCAAGCTGTGAACAGAGACATAACATTAATCCCATCTGGCGTCAAAGTGCCGTAAGTCAGGATAAGTCTGTGTTCCAAATTGACCCGGCTGGCGGTGTTAGTGCTAGCCACAATCGCACTGATTGAAAAGTCCGCCTTGCCCCGGTGGTCGCTACTATTGAAGTGTTTGGAGACGGGACACTGTTTATCTTGTGTAATGTTTCGGAGGTGTTCGGTACACCTGTCCGAGAGACGGCGTCCAGTCTCCCCTATGTATGTCATCTGACAGCGNTTTTGTTCGCTGACGAAGGCTTTCTGCCGACACGTTCGCTGTTTTGTTGCGTTTAATTTTTCAGGTTTAACCATACTCTGTTTTACTCATTTTATTTTGTACTAACCTGATTGCAGTCTCTCCCCTTATTACCCCAATATATATAATATGTTGACTGATGATTGGTTCCTACAGCAGGGGGCCACCAGTTAGGCTACAACAACTCATTAAGTTGTTTCTACATCATTCAGCAAAATGTTTGGTCTACATCATTCCATCAAATAATTGGTCTACATCATTCCATCAAATAGTTGGTCTATTTCATTCCATCAAATAATTGGTTTACATCATTCTATTAAAAAGTTGGTCCTCTTCATTCCATCAAATGGTCTACTTCATTCCATCAAATAGTTGGTCTTATTGATTCAATTAAATAATTGGTCTGCTTAATTCCATTAAAAGTCGGTCTACTTTATTCCATTAAATAGTTGGTCTACTTTATTCCATTAAATATTTGGTCTACTTTATTCCATGAAATGGTTCCATTAAATAGTTGGTCTACTTTATTCCATTAAATAGTTGGTTAATTTATTCAATTAATTATGTGGTCTAATTCATATCACTAAATAGTTGGTCTACTGTATTTAATTAAATAATTGGTCTACTACATACCATAAAATATTTAGGCTACCTTATGCCATAAAATATTTAGCCTACCTTAATCCATAACATATTTAGGCTACTAGTTTTCGTAAAAAAATTGGTCTTCTGCATTCCATTAAATAGTTGTGTTAATTATTTGTGTAATTAACAAAATATAAGTATAATTGACACATGACAGGGTAAAACTAAGAAAAGAAAATGCAATCAATCTTTGAAGGGAAAACACTTTCTTATGAAAACATTGAACGGAAGCAGATTCTGATATAAGAAAAATTATATTAAAGTAAGCTTATTGTGTAGAAAGCGGAGTTTTACTCTATATTAAACTAAGCTCATTGTGTAGAAAGCTGAATCTATGTTAAGGTAAAAGTGAAAACTTTTCTGACTACACACATCTATTATTGATCTAAGATCTTTTACTCTTAGAACACAAAAATAATATTTAAATATACAAATTTAAAAAAAATAAAAAAAGGATTACAATCCAGGAAAATCCATAGAGATGCGACCACTGGTTAAAATAGCAGTAAGCCCCTAAATGCGTCGTACAGTTTAAATCCAATATCCTACAATGTAAATGTTCTTCATGTAGAAAAGAAAACATGCTAAAACAAAGAATCAAACAGGGGAAAAAAATAGAGTTTAATTTACAATATAATTTATATGTTAAAATAAATATTCTTTGAAAACTTTGTCAATGGTAAAAATGAAATAACATTTTAAAAAGACATTAATAAAATTTATTTATTTCAAAATGTATATCAAAGTTGTTTTTTTTTTGTTTTGTTTTTTTTGTTTTTTCTCTAACCAGGTCAACTTTTTTATTTCTAACTTTCCCCTGCCAACAGCATCTCAACTACGGTCTGTAAGGGACAGAACTTATTAATAGCAAATAGGTTAGCAGTCTGCAGAGTAGCTGCTCCTCGCGTGATGATTATTTCATCATCAGGCTCCAGCACCGAGAAGATGATTGCGTACTTGGCCTTACTTATTTTCAATGTTTGTATACAAAACTTGGAATGAAAGAGTGTTCGAAACAATAGCAAACGCCAGAAGCAAAAACATAACAATCAGTTAACGATTCTTTGTTATAAACATAACACCAGTGTGCTCCGTGGGGTGGAACGATGGTAGGGATTCACATGGTTTGCACATGTTTGGTAGAACTGATGCATGCTTATTAGTTTTTCTGTTTATTGTTGTTTGTTTTTTGTTGTTTTTTTTCAATGAAGATTTTATTAAACATAATGCTGTAATGAGGATTCGCTATTATTATTATTATACTTTTTTCATCTATTATTTAATATGTTTTCATTAATAAAAAACCCACCATGTTAAACTGGAAAATATAATTTTGTGTACCACATTTATTGTTCTTAGAGAACTAGTTGTTATTATTCTTTTTTTATTTTTTTACACTTACTTCACCTTCATATTTCGCTAATGATGGCTTACTTTGAAAAAAAAAGGAAATGCAAATCTCACATTTTATTTTCAGTAAACGAGTTTTAAATATATGAATTCAAACTTTAAAAAAAGTAAAAATTAAATTATTTATTGCATTAATCTGTGCTCAACACTTACTACGCGGTATCCTTCGAGATTCAGCAAAATTAATTTACCGCCATGGCGCGCCATTTATACCTCAGGACGGAGCTTTAAATCATAAGTACGTATTTTTAAACAACTTTTATTTAACTGAACTTATTTCTCAGAGGCAATAGCTCCAATATTTTGGAGAAGGGAAAATCTATTACCACTGTTAGCAAAGTCTCCGCAGATATGTCAAAAATGCCACTGCAATCTAGATTAGACCGTGCATTGTCATACAGCGCTCTCACCAAAATATAAATGCTGCCAAATGTATAAAAATGAAGAAGAATCATTGTTAAATTGCCCGGGTCAGTGCTCAACTGAGGGACGGCTCGACTTGCTCGCCATTTCAATTTTAATGCTTATTTATCAGCATATGGCGATTGTCTACGTTGATTTTTTGTAATTATTGTTTGCTAGTCATTTTATATGTTATATTTGAAATTGTTTGGTATTACAAATAAATAAATTATTCATTTAAAAATTGTTTGCCCACATTTGTCAGTGTCTATGAGTCTATGGTTTAAAAAAATAAGTAGGTTGTAGACTGTTTATGTTTAAGTTTATATAAGGTTCTCATATGAAAAAATAACGTTCAGTGAATAATTGCCTTAAATTCAATACCCTCCATAACTCATTATAAATTAAAGTCAATTTTAAAAGTAAGCCAAAGATAATAATTTATTTTCCATATTGATTGACTGTGCCCCAGGTAGTGACTTGCTGTGCCCGGTACCGGGACACAGTAAATCACTAACCCCTACACACTTTGAAACGCTCTGTGAGCAAGAATATCATATTTAGCCAAATTTTAAGGATTCCTATACAAGTCCATTGTGTAATACAATCAATGAGCACATACAGCAATAAAATATCTGTTACAACTGTTTGCATATTAATAAAAAATAAAATTTCTGATCCACTGTGCCACCGACTCCCTAGTGTGGATGAACAGAGAAAAATGTCTTACAGAGTGCACTCTTTTGAAGCGATAGCGCCAAAAATTATGGAACAGCTTGCCTCAATCTTTGAGGGGAATTTTAAAATGATGGAAAAATCATTTAAGAAACAATTAAAAAAACGTTTTTGTTTAAATAGATTTTGGAAAATACAGAGCATGCTAAAATGGCATGGATACCAGCGCGATATCAACATCATATTCAATCAATCAGATTTTCTGGATGCCAAGTACAGACAAAAAGGCTCGCAGCAATCGGAACCATACCAGCCCGGGGGAGTGTGGGAGTGGGGGGGGGGGTTGGTTGTGCTTGACCTTTTTTTGGACACCACCCCCCCCCACCCCCCCAACCCGTACCTACACAAAGCCCTTAGCCCCCCCCCCCCCCCCCCCCATAAACACAACAAAGATATCAAATAATTCAATAGATCATTGTGACGTCAGAGGAATAAAAATAATATGTCACGGGATTATATCGCCGACCATTTTGCCAGCCCAGTGGTCCCCATAACACGCGTTGCTCTGGGTGCCATGTTGCCCTCGGGAAGAGCCATGAGAATGGGGCAAACAGGACAGTCACAGCGAGCGCCATAATCTTTTTCAGATAGTAAATTCTTAGTGAATAAAAATATCAAGTCACTTTTCAAACACCTTGAGGAGAATATTAGATTTAATCAAGTTTGTTCCAGAAAGTTCAATATTGCTCCACGGGGATAAATAGTGGTGTCTAAAAGATTAATGAAATGTTAATTTAGCTCTTTTAATTTCTATATTTTCCTTGGATTTTCAAATTAACACCGAGTCATCTTTTTATAAAAAGTTTCATGAAGGTTCAAAATTATTCTAGAAACTTTAATTTTTTTCATAAACCTTCAATATATGTCCTCAAATATAATTAAATAATTAATTATATATTTAAACGTTTCTAGAAAGTTCTAAATTAGTTGTCCATTACATGTATTATGGCCTAAGCTATACACATACATGAAGTGGAAGGCTTAGTTTACAACACATCCTACTATGTGGATCGATTGATTTTGGTCAAATTTAGTAAACGAACACTTCATAATGCCGACGGGAAATAAGATCCAACCGAGAAACAAGATCCCAACCTGGATCCCAACCAACGAACATGATTCTAAGTGGGGAACTGGTTCCAATTTCGAAAAAAGTGATCCCACCTGATGAGATGATCGTAAAATTGTGAAAATGTGATCCCACCTGGTGAGATGATCGTAAAATTGAGAAAATGTGATCCCACCTGGTGAGATGATCGTAAAATTGTGAAAATGTTATCCCACCTGGTGAGATGATCTTAAAATTGTGAAAATGTGATCCCACCTGGTGAGATGATCGTAAAATTGTGAAAATGTGATCCCACCTGGTGAGATGATCGTAAAATTGTGAAAATGTGATCCCACCTGGTAAGATTATCGTAAACTTGTGAAAATGTGATCCCACCTGGTGAGATGATCGTAAAATTGTGAATTAAGCCTAACATGAATGGTATCTTACGGGGAACTGGATTCCACTGGTAACGGGATGGGAACCCATTGGGACTAGGATCCTACTGGGAAGAAGGACCTCACTGAGAACGGAATCTCAACAGGTTTTTGATCCCATCGGGAAATGGAATCCGACCGTAAAAAAAGTGTTCCAATCGGGATCGGGATCGAACCAGGAACGGGATCACAATGCTGTCGGGTTTCCACTGGGAAAAGGTCTCATTAGGATATGTCCTCTCACTTTGAAGCGTAATTAGGAAATGGATCCCATCGGGAAAGGAACCTACAGGGATCTGGATCACATACTTAGGAAATGAGATCAAAACAAGGAAAGGATCCACTGGGGATCGAAATCGCTACGGGAAATATGATGTTTGTGGAATAGTATTTTACAAATATGTTTTTAGAGGATAAAATTTAGTATTTTTATATTTTTTCCCAAGCAATGTCTGTTGTTTAGGCCCCTTAATAACGATGTTAGCTAAAGGGCTGAAAAATGTGGGGGGTTTTTCCTCGGATCAAAACGGGTGTATTTGCTAGTTGTTTGTAATTCGACACACCTTCCCCAAGCTGCGTCACGATAGTAAAATAAGTGTTTGTACTGCTGTTTACTTGATGACAACACATCACATCAACTCAGAAATGTTACCCACATATTCTATTGTTCCATCAGAAAATAAAATCGGACACATTCATCCCCGCAAAGTTCGTGACGTAGATAGATACTATTGACCATGTCATTTGCTTAACATTCTCTCACGCACTGTGATCCCCCCCCCCCAAAAAAAAAAGGAATTTATTTTTTACACAAGTAACATTATTATTAACAACCTATTTTTTCAATGTAGATCACTATGGATTGTGTCAAGGCTGTTTTGGAACACGTGTAATCCCTTACAATTAGTCACGTCCTCCTCATTGTTTACCGATATCTTATATCATCGCGTTTAGATTTGTAAAATAGCAGTCGACTATATAAAGTCGGGGAAGTCCACAAAAAATTGAAATCGTCTCCAAGCCGATTTACCTACAGTCATGGTGTGAGTATGCCTGTTAACCTTCAGACTTGACCATTTCTAAAAGTGTTATCAGAAGTTGGTAACTTTAAAAAAAAGTTACAACTAAATTGAATATGCCGCTGATATTAGCCGCGTGGTAAAAATTATGCTTTCGTACATAACATGGGTAGCTCTAATTAACTTATACTTAAGCAGTAATTAGTACAGAAGCTCTTTTTAGCAGTGGCTATCTAAGATACTCCTTATAAAGAAAAAGGAAATACCAGACTAAAATTCGACCTTGAAAAGCTGAAAGATCCTAAAGTAGCAGAAGCCTTCGCAGCAAAAATACGAGGAAAATTTGCAGCGGTTAACATTATAGATGCCGACGGTTCAGACATGGACGCATTGATTGATAACTTCAACACTGCTGTGACGGACACAGCTCACGACATCTCTGGTAAACAACGACCAACCTGAAAACCATGGGTGACAGCTGATATTGCACTATAATTATAAACATCAATTGAGCCGTATGACAAAGCAACCTTTAAATTTCATTTCGATTCAACTTCATCAGATTTTTTTAGTTTGATTCGTAGTTAATAATTTTTTCTTTCTTTTTTGTTTGTTTATATGGTTTTTTTTTCAGCATTTAAATTATTATAATGTATTTCCGATAAAATGACGGTGTTAAAAAGTTATCTGAGAAAAATAAATTAGAAACTTCGTTCAACACGTCGGAATAAAAATTCAAGACTAGGAATATATTCATACATGTCGGCATTTAGCCTTACCATTCTTTTCATTTCACTTGCGATAAGATTATTGCCTCTACATAAATCCTGATTTTTTTTTTTTATATGAAAGTAATCAAGTTATTTTATTTAACTCTAAGTGAAATGAAAATTACGTAAGAAAAAATCCACAAAGAGGATTTTGTTTGTTCTTGTATTTTTCTCGTATTTATGAAAACACAATGACAAATTTATTCCTATGATAATATGTATTGATACTCGACAATAATACTTCTACAGTAAATTTGTCGCTGCTCTTCTGCTGGTGGCTTGCTTAGCACTGACCCACGGTCAGTTGTCCTATGATGCACAGCTTGGCCTGTCCATACAATTCTGTCAAAGATGTGGAACCCCTGGACTCGATGGTGAGTAGCGCTGAAGGTAGCAGATGAAAATTAACCCTTAAAGGAATTTCACACACCCAGCATGCTACGTTCTTTCTCATGTCCCAATTGATTTGATTTGCCCCAAGAATAAGTTAAAAGTCTTATCCTCTGCAGTCGTCCTATCAATTTATAAAATGCTGGTAGTTTCCCAAGCTTTCAGCGTTTTCTTAAGCATATCAGTCGCTACACTGTCCACGCCAAACCATTACAAAAAAAGTCCTGGTCTATGAACGTTGAGATTGTTGGTAGTGGTTACAGGCGTTTCAAACCAAAACAGTTAATTGATGATTATTATAATTGTTCCAGCAAAAAGTGTTGCTCAAACAAAAATGCTCTACTGGTTGGGTCCCTTTCGTGACTGCAAAACAAGCAAGTTCATAGTCCCTTCATTTATTTCATAGCCTTAACCGGCTTTTCTTTCTAGCCTCTACTGGGCTGTTGTTTAAGAAATGTTATCCCCAGCCTCAACTTGACTGATGTTTAAGATCTTTTATCCCTAGCCTCAACTTGACTGATGTTTAAGACCTTTTATCCCTAGCCTCAACTTGACTGATGTTTAAGACCTTTTATCCCTAGCCTCAACTTGACTGATGTTTAAGACCTTTTATCCCTAGCCTCAACTTTACTGATGTTTAAGACCTTTTATCCCTAGCCTCAACTTGACTGATGTTTAAGACCTTTTATCCCTAGCCTCAACTTGACTGATGTTTAATACCTTTTATCCCTAGCCTCAACTTGACTGATGTTTAAGACCTTTTATCCCTAGCCTCAACTTGACTGATGTTTAAGACCTTTTATCCCTAGCCTCAACTTGACTGATGTTTAAGACCTTTTATCCCTAGCCTCAACTTGACTGATGTTTAAGACCTTTTATCCCGAGCCTCTACTTGACTGATGTATAAGACCTTTTATCCCTCACCTCTACTTGACTTTTGTGTAAGACCTTTTCTTCCTAGCCCCAACAGCGCTCATGTGAAATAAGAGGCTTATAAAAAGAATGTGTTGAAAATTTTCAATTGTATTTCTTTCCTGGCTTTGTCACACAACAGACACAATTTATAAGATATAAAAGAAACATGTGGTAACAGATCTACTAGTAAAAATATAATGCCTTAGCTATATGTACAATATATATATATTTTTATTTATCAATGACCTCTCTAAACAGATATATCAATCAAATGTCTTATTGCATAACTATATAACTCAGGCGTCCAAAATTGTCCCTCGTTTACAGTCATGTTTTCCAGCCAATGATTAGTCCTACATGACAGAGTAGTTCAACTCATTATGTAAGCCAACAAGTGTATTTTACCCCCTTTCATTATGAGTTGAACTACTCTGTCATGTAGGACTAATCATTGGCTGGAAAACATTACTGTAAACGAGGGACAATTTTGGACGCCTGAGTTATATAGTTATATTATGTAAGCCAACAAGTGTATTTTCCCCCCTTTCATTATAACACGTGATAAATCTATGACACGACACGACATTAAAAGAACCATATAACAGTGAAAGAAGGAAATACATTTTGATCTATGTGTCCATCTCATCTATTGAATAGTTTAACTCAGATTCTTCTACACGTTTTTCGAACGTCGTAAAAACACCGAAATATACTGAAGCCCTCTTCCATTAGTAAGGTACTTTAATCATAAATAGATCTTAAAGGACTGTGCATTTCATCAAATACACATGTAAAGGGCCGCTCACTATAATAGAAGAAATAATACACAAACATCTACTAACTAACACAAAACTTCCCATGAAGGACTAAGATTACTTTCTGATGACCATGGCAAGTAAGTACGATAGCGATCAGCTCTATATGCTGAGCTGTGCCTTATAACATTGTCTTCACGCAGGGCTCACCCGCCGCCATGGCCTACCTCGAAACATCTAGTGTTAGCATATGCCCTAGTGTTGCTGGGGCCATACTGTAATGCCGACGGTTAGGGTCCCTGTTATTGTCTAGTCTCTTGAAAAATGTGCTCAATACGCATCTGTGTCACTAAACTTTGCAGACTACCATGGGTCTTCTAGTCAATTAGATGGTTCTTTTGACGAATGATAATGAATATGCACGTACGTCAGAAACAGTCAAGACAAAAAATGATAATTGCCATAATAATAAGTCATCATCATTAAATCCATTAACCCCATGCAAAGCATTTAGTCTTGACAACATCAAACCACGTGTGCCCAAAGAGTTAGCCAAGGAAATAACTACTGCACTGACAATCCTGTTCCAGTCGTCAGTGTGCACAGGTAATGTTTCATCAGACTGGAGATTAGCGCACGTCACCACTATCTACAAGAAATGGGAGCATTCCGCCCTTACCAACCATCGTCCGATATCCCTCACCAGCGTGGTATCCAAACTGTTAGAACACAAAATTGAAAGCGCAGACATGAAGCGATTTGCAAGCCAAAATATACTCAATGACTGTCAACATGGCTTCTGAGTCAAAGAGTGTTTCGCTGGGACGAACATATTAACAATGTGTGCACCCAGGCAAACAAGACCCTAGGGTTCTTAAGGCAAAATCTAAAGATCGGCAACTGCAGTGTAAAAAAAAAAAAGAGCCGATAAAGCCTTTGTCCTAGCGCTTTTAGATACGTATCTTCAGCCTGGGACCCATTTAACCAGAAGAGCATTGACAGGTTGACGGGCAACACGCTTTGTCCTAAACCGCTACAGGAATACCTCTAGTGTTGGCAGCATGCTGTAAACATTAGGCTGGTCACCATTGGAGGAACGACGACGACTATCCAGGCTCTCCATGATGAACAAGAAAAATAATGGGCTGGTCCACTACTCTAGCATTAAAGAGAGACTTGTTCCTCTCGCCAAAAGACAGCGTCGAGGCCATGAAAGGAAGTTCCGGCTCATACCAGCAAGAAGCCAGTGAAGGACCTGCTCATTCCTGCCAAAGACAAACAGGGACTGGAACAAGTTTCCAAAAGGAACAGTTCAGGCTAAAACCCTTGACACATTTGTGTATATTGCCTCAGGCCTTTAAACCCCCAGTTCCTGATACCCTCACTGAGAAGCCCTTGCAACCAGACAGATATCCTCTTCAACACCACGCATAAAAACATTTATAATCCCCTCTACATACATTGGAGATAGAATGAAAAAAAAATTGATCAAGGGCCCTTAATGTGTAGAAGAATAAGAAGTAAAAAAATGGCGTTCACGAACTACTAACTCTCTCAAAACACACCGCGTACTATAACACACAATATCAAGTGTGTACATTCATTATTAGTGATCTACCGACACTATGTACATGCTACTTGGTTGTTTTATCTGTTAGATTTCTGCATCAAGCGCTACGGAAGGTGGGGACAAACGGTACCTGCTGTAGGCAATGCCGGCTTTGGAACATTTGGTGGACCTACTGGACGACCACCACATGGGTAAGTTGGTGGACCTACTGGACGACCAACACATGGGTAAGTTGGTGGACCTACTGGACGATTACTAAATGGGTAAGCTCGTGGACCTATTGGACGATAACTACATGGTTAAATTAGTGAACCTGCTAGACGACCACCCCATGAGTAAGTTAGTGGACCTACTGGTCGACCACCACATCGGTAAGTTAGTGGACCTACTGAGCGACCACCACATCGGTAAGTTAGTGGACCTACTAGACGACCACCACATGTCTAAGTTGGTAGACCTACTGCTCGACCGCTACATGGTAAAGTTAGTTGAAAACTTGGTCTAGCCAACTGTCGAATAATTTACTACTAAACAGTAGGTTTGCGTTTCGCTCACTAATATACTATTAATTTCCATTTTTTTAAAAATCGTGATTTTTTTTTTTATTTGTATATTCAACATGTTTAAACGTATGATATATTTATTCATGATATTTCAAGTTAAAGATTGATTTATGTTCACCAAAATTAAGTTGATTTTATTATTTTAAAAAAAAAAAGGATCACTGAATGTAATAGCCCTCTAAACAACTTACCCTCTAAAGAAATGACTTTAACGTGACAACAATAATAACAGTTTCCACATCATTTCTGATCAGTTATTTTTCTGGTGTAACCAACAATGTGCCCAACTCATGCGTGACACTGAAGCAATATGCTGCAGCCATCCCAAACAGAGGACTACAGACCAACAGCATTCCTGTCTACGTCCAGACCGGTGACTGGGGAGCAACCGTACCCAGGGTAAGAGTATTTGACAGGGGTTCAAACCTCTCCATTTGCTGTTTGCTGACGGGCATTCTCATATCTGGAGTAACCAATGTAGTTTGAAATTGATGTAGTGTCAAGGCCATTATAGCAATTTCCACTAAAAGAGACTGTGATAATTTCAGTTACAATCGTGTATTGTATCTTATAGTCGTGTTTCTGCTTCGTTAAACTAAATCATTAAAAACAAAACAAACAAAATTCGATTTTCAAAATGTTTTATTTCTTTTAAGAAAACTAAACTAGCGGATTATTTGAGCATTTCAATGTGAAACTAGTTTTGTAATCAACAAACGTATTTCAATTAAATAAAGATATATTCTAAAAGTAATAGTTATTGTTGATGATCATTTGTCATTTCATACTTAAGATCTTACATTTATTGTAAAGAAACAATATTGTTATTATGAAAACGCAAACACACGCACACAAAAAAAGCACACTCAGAAGCACGCCAACACTCATTTATAAATAAATATGATGAAACACACACAAAATTATCTATTTACGAAAGAAGTGTTTCACCATTCAGTGCTGCTGTAAATAAGTTGAAAATCTTTTCATGGTTTTGCGGATGTATTGCGAGGTAAAACAAAACTTTTAAAATTTCCATTATCTGTCCCCAGGTATTCTTCAACCCAATCGTTGCTCAGTTCTTACCTGTACAGTACCCACTTGACCACTATCTGGACAACAACGCTAGGTTCCCCAACGGTGTCTGGAACTACGCCAACCCAAGCAGACCAGTGAAGGTGAGGTCTTCCTCCTCTTCATATTTATGATAGCCGTGCCTGTATTTTAAATCTTTAAAAAGGACAATGGGGCACTCGACGTTGACACTAGAAGCAGTGAGCATATTCCATTTTACCTTAGAAAAATGATGTAAATAAGCAAGAAAGAAGTATGCTATATTGTTTTAAACCTCATTTAACATTTAATGGGCCTGTGAATTTAAATTTAAAATATTAACGTACTACCGATGGCTGCAAATAAATCAATATTAATATCATGTTCCCAGAATGCCTACAGGCTCGACAGCTTCTACTACCAGGACACCGGCAACAACACCTGGTCCTATCAGTGCTACTGTGACTGGTGCCAGCAAGCCCAACAATGTACTAATGGTTAAAACAGTCCAGTAGCGTGCATTGTGATTATAAGTTTCAATAGTACCATAATTAATTCTATTGATTGGTTGTAGTGGTATCTCTTGAAGATTATAAATAAACATGATTAATTAAAATCAATTGTTTCCTTTTTAATTTTTATTTCATTTTTAAAAATTAAATAAAACATCATTTTAATTTTTTTTAATTTGATGTGCAATTAATGTGTTAATGAATGTTATAGCTTACAAAATAATCTACTACATAAAGAGCAGTAGTTCTAATTATTAAAATGATCTTCTTTATAAAGGGAAGTTATATCATTTATTAAGATAATCTACACTATAAAAGGGAGTTGTATAATTTTAATAATATAGTGATGTTAAAAATAAGAAATAAAGAATTATCAGATTCGGCTTCGCGGTTCGCAATACTTGGTGAACAGTTTACAGACTTTAAATTTTGTCATTAGTTTACCTCAAGTTAGTTTAGACAAAAAAAAGTCAGAAAGGTGTTGGACTACATCGTATTTGAATTAAGCTGTAATTGTTTCCACTCTTCTTTTAACGCATTTTACAATAAAGATTGATTATGGGAACACGCCCGACTATGAATTACTGAATGTTTGAATCATATCTGTAGTGCACCGGAAAATTTCGAATGCCGAAATGTGTAGTGCACCGGCAACTTTCGGATGCCAGAGTCTGATTTCAATCTGTAGTGCTCCGGCAACCTTCGGATGAGAGAGTCTGATTTCAATCTGTAGTGCTCCGGCAACCTTCGGATAACAGAGTCTGATTTCAATCTGTAGTGCTCCGGCAACCTTCGGATGCAATATACGTAGTACACCGGCAAACTTCGGATGCCCAAGTCTGTTGTGCACCGGTAACCTTAGAATGCCAGAGAGTCTCCCTTCAATCTGCAGTACACCGGAAACTTCCTGATGTCAGATTCTAGAGTGCACCGGCAACCTTCGGATCCCAAAGATTGTAGAGCACTGGAAACCTTCGGATTCCAAAGTCTGAAGTGCAACGGCAACCTCCTGATGCCAAAGTCTGTAGTGCACCGGCAATCTTTGGATGCCAAAGTCTGTAGTGCACCGACAAAATTTGGATGCCAAAGTCTGAAGTGCACCGGCAACCTCTTGATGCCAGAGTCTGTCTTCAACAATTTTTAAAGCGATGAAATGCGTAACCTTTATTGAAACACAGGAGCTTGCCAGTTTGTCCGCAGTTTTTTGTCAAGGAGTAGGTTGTCCAGTAGTAGGCTGTCAAGCAGTAGGTTGGCCAACAGTAGGTAGTGCAGCAGTAGGCTGCCCAGCCGTGGGTTGTGCAGCAGTAAGTTTTACAGCATTAGACAGTCCAGCAGTAGGTAGTCCAGCATAGACTGTCAAGCCGTAGGTTGTCCAGAATTAGATTGTCCAGCAGTAGGTTGTCCAGCATTTGACTGTCCAGCAGTAGATTTCCAGCGTAGACTATCAAGCAGTAGGTTTTCCAGCATAGGCTGTCAAGCCGTAGGTTGTCCAGCATAGGCTGTCAAGCAGTAGGTTGTCCAGCATAGACTGTCAAGCAGTTAGGTTGTGCAGCATAGACTGTCCAGCAGTGGGTTGTCCAGCATAGACTGTCCAGCAGTAGGTTGTCCAGCATAGACTGTCCAGCAGTAGGTTGTCCAGCATAGACTGTCCAGCAGTAGGTTGTCCAGCATAGACTGTCAAGCAGTTAGGTTGTGCAGCATAGACTGTCAAGCAGTTAGGTTGTGCAGCATAGACTGTCCAGCAGTGGGTTGTCCAGCATAGACTGTCAAGCAGTTAGGTTGTGCAGCATAGACTGTCCAGCAGTAGGTTGTCCAGCATAGACTGTCCAGCAGTAGGTTGTCCAGCATAGACTGTCCAGCAGTAGGCTGTGTTGACACAGGTCAATTTTTTGTTTGTTTTTTAAAAGATGTAAAATATATAAATCCAAACGTATTTGTCTTCTTTGGCTACATAGGAAAAGGTTTGCTCGGAAACGATACTCAAAAGACAGTTATAACAAGTAGGGCAGCTTCTTGTCCATCTGTCGACAGATGTTTATGTTGATGTTGTATGACATGGTAGGGGTCTCAAAACACGTCGTAATATTGATTTGTCTAAAATCGAAGTTTCAAACAAACGGTAAAAGAACTATTCCCTATTGTTAACTGTGCAAATAAATCTATCTTTGATACCAAACTTGGTGTCTCGTGTGAAAATATGTTGTGGGAATAGATAACGGTTTCATGGTTATTTCTGAATTTCAGTTTTAAAAAATAATAATAAAAATAATAATTCCGAAATATCTCTGAAAATAATATCTTTAATTTTTTTTTTTAAATCTAACAAAGACATTAAGAATGTCATGATTAAAAAAGGCACTTTGTGAAAAAATTACTGTGTCGATAAAGATTTTAAAAATTGAGAGTAAGTTAATATCGTAAAAAAGAAGGTATAATGAAGGACTTCTGTACTAGAAAATTTTATATTTGATTTTTTTTTTTTTAAATTTTAAAAGAAAAAATAAAACAGGGGCTAAATTGTGTAATTGCTTTTGAATTAAATGTTTGGTAAAGTGTTGCACCCAGAGCGACAAGATAAGAACAACAAAAGAACATTATATGTATAAGGTTTTATGTTTATGCTGTAGTCAAATTACAACCATCAACATTATATGTAATTGGACGCATGTTTATACTCAAGTCAAGGGAAATAAACAAAATTATATGTACAATGTTGTATGTTTAAAGTCACGTCAAAGCTCAACAAGCAACATTAAATGTACACGGTTGCATATTTATACTGACGTCAATGAACAACAAACAACTTTATTTGTACACGGCAACATATTTATACTGGCGTCAAGGAACCGCAAGCAATATGTTAAGTATGAGGTAGCAATTTTTAAATTGCCGTCAAATGATAAAAAGCCAATACAATCATGTGTACAAGGTAGCAAGTTTAAACTTGCGTAAAAAAATTAAGCAATATTATATGTACAAGTTGGCGTGAATCAACTGATGGCAGAGAACAACAATCAACAGTATATGTGCAAGTTGGCGTGAATCAACTGATGGCAGAGAATAACAATCAATAGTATCTGTACAAGTTGGCGTGTATCAACTGATGGCAAAAAACAACAATAAAAATGGTGTCATAGATCACGTACCCTTATCTGTACAAGGAAGCATGTTTATAGTAATGGCAAAGAACAATGATCATCAGTGGAAGAGAGCATGTTTCAACTAACGTCAATGGATCACACGCATCTTATATTAGCGCAAGTTGGCGTGACTGTAATAACTTTAAATAATAACGAGCATCATTAAAAGTACAAGATTAGCACGATTGAACTAAAGTCAACGACTCACAAGCATCATTAATAGTGCGAGGTAGCATGATTAAACGTGTTTCAAATAATCACAAACATTATTATAAGAACAAGGCAGCACGTTTAAACTGACATCAAAAAAACAACAAGCAACATCATCTAAAAAAACGGCGTATAATTAAATTGATGTGGAAAGCACACAAAATAAACTTTAACTGTAAAAAATGTGGCATGTTTAAACAAACTGCAAAGAACAAGCAATGCTATCTTTACAAGGCATCAATTTAAACTGACGACAAAAATAATCTACCAACATTATATGTTCATGGTAGAATGTTTGAACTGGCGTCAAAGAACAACCAGCAACATTACCTGAAAAGTCGCTTTTTTTTAATGCTGTTGAAGAACAAGCAATATTGTCTGTATAAGTTAGTCATATTTTAACTAAACTCAAATGACAGCAAACACAATTATATGAAAAACGTAGTATTTTTAGAAGGCCGCCACAGAGCAACTTTCTGCATGTATTCCTGTGTTTGACGAATTGAAATTTTTTGTGCAACAAAATCACAAATTAAGTTTCAAAAAAAATATTATGATTTTAATACCACCTTGCTGACGAAACACAATCACAATCACAAATTAAGTAAAATATAACATAGCTTTAACACCACCTAGCTGCCTTAACATAACACAATCACACATTTAGTTAAAACAACACAACGTCTCCACTACATAGCTCACACAACACAAAAGTTTAGAAATGTGTTCATTTCAAAAATGTAATTCACCTGTGTTCCTGATTTATTTTTTATTTTTTTAAAAATTTTTTTAAAATGAAATTGTAGATTTACAAACGAAAAAAAACCCTGTAATAGTCTTTTATTTTTATTTTATGCAATTAAAAGATATTTTTTCGACATAGAGAACAATTTTTGTCGAAAAATATCGGCTTCATCCAGGACTATAATTTTAAATATATATATATATATATACATATATATATATATATATTATTTTTAAGTTCTTTAATGCGCTGACCAAATTACAATGATTTTACGCTAACATGCACTGTTTTTTCTGTTAATGTCTAAAAAAAATTCAGCGTTCGTATTTTCTCCTGCTTTGTAAAGTACATTTAGCTGGTACAAGACGTGAATGGACGGATCTCCTAGTCAATAAGACATTCATTCATGTCCTGGCACAAACCAGAGGAAAACGTGATAGGAACTGAACATATGTTCAAATAGATCATTGACGTTGTCGGGGCAAAAAAAAAGGTGGGGGGGGGGTCGGTCCTTTTCAGGGTATGTCCATGTTATTTGATTTAGATCAAAAGCAGGTTGGGCCGCACTTGAAGAGCACAAATAGTTAAAATAAGAATACATTTAATACATGTTAGATCCCTTTGGCTCATTAGACTACGCCTACAAAGATTCACAAAATCCCAGAATGTCACGTCTGCTCAGTGCATGTTTCTACGCATGTCTCTCAAACTTGCCATTCATTGACTCAACCTCAAAGGTATAAAAACTGCCCATAAATTTGATTATTGTTAGGTATACACTCGGATATACGCTCAAGACATGGGGCAAGTAAACCAACAGCTATTTTTAAAAAAAGTATTGATCATCACAAAGATTCAGGCCCTGCAAATTTCATTCTCACTACAGGAATTTTCTCTGTAATGTTTCAAACATGGTAGAAAATTTAAATCACATATCATGATCATTTGTGGTTCAATTATTTTGTATTGCAAGCATTCACTCGCATCTTCGGTGGCACTACAGCTCTTAAGACCTTGGCCTGCTTCAACACAATTTTTGTGTTGGCACTACAGCCTACTTAAGGCCCTGGCCTGCTTCGACACATTCTTTCGTTGGCACTACAGCCTACTTAAGGCCCTGGCTTGCTTCGACACATTTTTTCGTTGGCACTACAGCCTACTTAAGGCCCTGGCCTGCTTCGACACATTCTTTCGTTGGCACTTCAGCCTACTTAAGGCCCTGGCCTGCTTCGACACATTCTTTCGTTGGCACTACAGCCTACTTTAGGCCCTGGCCGGCCTCGACACATTTTCCACTTGGGTATATTAACGACGTTTCGCATCCATGCGAGGGCCCCTAGCAGATGTATCTCCTTCACTACATCGTCAATCGTTCTTAATCTTGGTCGAGCCGTGAGCCGTCTGAGCCTTGGTTTCTATCTGCAGACGAAATCGCTGCTCTAAAATCTGACACATTTAATGCTTTCTTTGTACTGATTCTGATAAAAACCTTCATTTTTAGTTTGCGAATCCTGTTGCCCCTGTTGGTCCTCTACTCTTCCTCGATCGATGGTCAGATATGCTCCCAGCCTCGGCTTGGCCTTTCAATACAATTCTGTCAGAAGTGTGGGAGCCCTGGACTTGATGGTAAGAAGATTAGTCACACATAAAAAAAAATACCCAACACAAAAGTAAATAAACATAATTAGTATTAACCATAATAATTTTAATCAACAAAACATAAGTACACTTACCACTAGTGAAAACGATTGAGAGTATTTCAAACATCATATGTCTTTTAAGTATAATATTTTGGTTACTATTTGATCACTGTTCTTGGCTCTGCATTATCTGCTCTACGAAATCACGTTCTGATCATTTCAATTCCATACTAATAGGGTCATGTTGACCTCATTTTTCTTTTCTTTTAAAGTTTTCTCGATAATTTTTTGAAGCGCTAAAATTCTTTATTTTTTTTATATAAAAATTTGTTTAGATTTTTGCATCAAGCGGTATGGAAAATGTGGAACATATACGGTAGCGGTGGGAAACACGGGCTACGGAAATTTAGGTGGACCTGCGGGCCTACCACCCCATGGGTAAGTCATAAAAAAAAACAGTCAGATATAACATCATTGTTACGATTGTAGATGGATAGATTAGAAGTAACTTTATTAAAAGGACTATGCCTGATGGACTGGGTGACTCTCAATTCAGCTAAATATAACGAACTTGTCAGGATTCCAAATCGAAAGTATGTAACACGCATTCAACAAATCTAGCACCACTCATTGGGCAGACATTCAACTCCCACTCATTGGGCAGATATCCAGCTCCCACTCATTTGGAAGACATTCAACTCCCACTCATCGTTAACATTTAGATGAACTAGTTTTCTTTTCGCTAAAATTAAATTAAAATATTTGGTATAAAAACATAATTGGTAGAATGCTCTGTAAATGTGGACATAAAATACTATGATGTACTATGGCCACTGTGATGTACTATGGCCACTGTGATGTACTATGGCCACTGTGATGTATTATGGCCAATTTGATGTTCTATGGCCACTGAGATGTACTATGGCCACTGAGATGTACTATGGCCACTGTGATATACTATGTAATATGGCAACTGTGATGCACTATGACCACTGTGATGTACTATGGCCACTGCGATGTACTATGGCCACTGCGATGTACTATGTAATATGGCGACTGTGATGCACTATGGCCATTGTGATGTACTATGGCCAACTGTGATGTACTATCGCCACTGTGATGTACTATGGCCACTGTGATGTACTATGTAATATGACAACTGTGATGCACTATGGCCACTGTGATGTTCTATGCCCACTGTGATGCCCTATGGCCACTGTGATGTACTATGTAATATGGCAACTGTGATGCACTATGGCCACTGTGATGTACTATGGCCACTGTGATGTACTATGGCCACTGTGATGTACTATGGCAAATGTGATGTACCAGCCAGCTCTTGAATTTAGCCGAAAACTGCAATTTAAATTCGACTTATAGGTCGAATATGTTTCGTTAAGTTTTAGTATCGGAATGAGTTAAGATATGTTAACCTTGCCACCGTCCCTGTAAGTGTAGTGCTCTTTTCGCCAGTTCATTAAAAGACTACGGTTATAGCAATACAATAAAATAAGTTTCCATTATTATATTTCTCCAGTACCCTGTCACGTTCCATTGTTATGTCTTGCCCAGTTATTTCTTATTTTTATTGTTATATTTGTCCCACTTACTTTTCAATTCCATTGTTATATTTTCCCAGTTATTTCTCCCGTTTTATTGCTAAATTTGTCCCACTTACTTCACACGTTCCATTGTTATATTTTCCCAGTTATTTCTCACTTTTTATTTGTTAAATTGTTCCTAGTTACTACTCGGGTTTCACCAATGGCCTACCGAGCTCGTGCGCAGAACTTGTGCGTGTCGCGTCAGCTATACCCAACAGTGCTTTACAGACGTCATCGTTCACCGTATACAGCCAGACTGGTGACTGGGGGGCGTCCTTACCACGGGTGAGATCTTTTACATTAGTTGATTGGATTTTCATGAACAAAAATAATCATAGGGTAATCAAAGACAAAAGAAAAGAAAAGGGAAATATTTTTTTTTTTTTTTTAAATACGAAAATATTTTTTTTTTCAAATGCTAACAAACAAACAAAAATTATTTTAAAAAATAAAAAAAAATTAGATGATAAATAAATATTATTTTTTCATTAATACAATTTTTTTTTAAATGTAAGGGAATTGTATAAAGACCAATTTACTTTGTTTTTTTTAATTCTCTTTATTCTTTAAGTGTGAGATCAGATAGCCGTTAATGAGTCGGAAGGTTTTTATTTTGGCAACTTATTATTTGTATTTGCAAGGAAATTTTCTTGATTTTGCTTTGGAACTCCTCTCCCCCACCCCTACCCACCCATACCCCCCCCCCACCACACCACTTCCGCATTAAGTTCGTCTTTCTCGCAGTTGAAGATAATGTTACCATGTAAAAATTCCACCTTAACATCTGTGTTATAGCCGTTAATGAGTCGGAAGGTTTTTATTTTGGCAACTTATTATTTGTATTTGCAAGGAAATTTTCTTGATTTTGCTTTGGAACTCCTCTCCCCCCCCCCTACCCACCCATACCCCCCCCCCACCACACCACTTCCGCATTAAGTTCGTCTTTCTCGCAGTTGAAGATAATGTTACCATGTAAAAATTCCACCTTAACATCTGTGTGTATATTTTCCCAGGTTTTCTTTAATCCACTCGTTGCTCAGTTCTTGAACGTCCAGTACCCGCTACACCACTGTCTTGAGAACAACGCTGGCTTCCCCAACAAAGTCTGGAACTACGCCAACCCTTACAAACCTAACCTTGTAAATGAACGTTTTGCTGAAATTGTTTAACCCCGATCTCAAACGTATCTTCCCCCCCCCCCCCACAAAAAAAATATCTCTACATCAAAACACACAATGTTCAATGTAACAAAGCCACAAACGCCACAAGATGGCTCTGATTTAACGGAATAAAATTCCCGATAACTCTGCTAAATGATATTCTTTAAATATAAGCGACCGTGCTGAGTTATCTTTTCTTTAGTTCCCCGGAAATAGTCTCAGTTTGAAGATTATGTTTAAAAATCTGCAGTGTATTTGGAGGTGGGGTATTAAATATTAATCAAGTTCAAGGGCGGTAGCAAATCTGGAGGAGTGGATCAATAATTTGGAATCGTGTAAAGTGCTTTACTTTAATGCAGGGTTTTTTAAGCATCTTTAGTGGATGGGAACTTAAGACGTTGCCGTCTCCAGTATTGGTTTGGGCCATAACTGTTTGTGGAATAAATCTGAGGTGCCAAAGTGGGTTGGAACCTATAATATTAATATAGTTCAGGGTCGGTGACTCCCGGATCTGGAGAGGTGGGCGGGGGGGGGGGTAGTAGCACTAATAGGAAATTTTATAAGCTGTTTTACTCGAATTCATGTTTTTTTTAAGTTACTTAAGCTGATGAGAAGTAAGTTATTCTTTTATAAAACATTCATAGTTGAATTTCCCATTTAAGTCGGCCAGTATCTGTTTTGATTGAAGTTTAGACATAAAATAACTGGTCCCTGCAAAGTCCCTCCGTGTTATTATGAAAGCCAACCCTTCAAAAAGTGGATGGTGTTTTGTATGTGCACCCTTCCTGTTACACCGTAACTGTATGCGGCAGACGTTTTAATTCTTCAAAAGGTTTGTTAACAACGAACATTAAAGTTATTCTTTTCCCCAAGCAAACGGAGATTACTTAAACAAAAATAAAATAATATCTCCTCATTAGCTTTAATAATACAGATCCACCTTCTAGTTTTGTGCCGATAGGAATCTAACAACACATTTAGTTAACTCGTAATTAAAAAAGTGTTGTTTTTTTTTTAAATTTTAAATATATACGTTTAAAAAAAATATTTTTTTAATAAATAGAAAGAAGGAAGAGCAAAGAATCTAATAAAAAAACAAGTCAATTGTTATACCTTTGACGACGAGTTCATGAACATTGTCTCACAGACTGCGCGTTGTTCAATTGGGAATTCATTGTTTTTGAAAGGTGCTAACACATACGTTGTTCATTTTAAAATAAAGTGTGCGCATTTCATCTGTGTCTACAGAACAACCTGAGGTTGGACAGCTTCTACTTCAACGCCAACGGCAACAACACGTGGTCCTACCAGTGCTACTGTGACTACTGTAGTCGGTGTCAACAGTGTACCAACGGTTAAATCAAGGTTGCAGCAGCAACTTCAAAAATAAAAGTCTGGTTAAAACAACATTGACAGGAAAGGTCTGTTTAAAACAACTTCAACAGGAAAGGTCTGGTTTAAAAATAACCTTCATTAGGACAAGTCTGGAAAAGGGGAACTATATTATTATTATTTTTTTTTGTTGTTGTAAATAAATGCTATTTATTAAATTATTTGTGGTCTTCTCTCCCTTTATATGTATGTGATTGCTACAGATCGACAATATTGGCCGTGTTATCTTTTTTATTTTATGAAGATTTAACAAATTATAACAGAGATAATTATTTGTTTTAACTAAAGTACGTTTCCTCATCGCTATACACTAGGTTCGTTGCTGGCTAAGAAATGGAAACCTAGAAAAATAGATTTGTTGCAAAATAAGAATGACATTATCACTTATAGTTTGTACCTGAAGGAGATATAAACAAATTAAAACACTATAGCCTTACCGAACAACATACAGCTCATTATTTTCAACAAATAGCTCATCCGGTACGACGTATAGAAGAATTATCACCGAACAAGGAAATATTCAGTTTTTAAAAAAAATCTTAGCTCATTAATTTTTTATTAATTTTTTTTTCTTCAAAAAAGTGTGCTGGATTGTGTCAATGACTTACCTGAAATGTCCTCTTAGGTTTTCAATGTCAACGCATTTATAACACATTATATCATAATTTATATCAAATAATAATGAGAAAGCAAGACTTCCTTTTTTGAAATATATTTTCACTGAAATATTATAGCGTTTTTTTCTCTTCAATATTTCATAGTGTAGTAATACAAAGTAATAAGCATAAAATATTACAGAGCAGATTTTCGATATTTCATAGCAATGCAATACAAAGTATTATGTATTTTCATACATAAATCACACTACACAAGACAAAATAATGGAATCTGGAATCTCAAAATATGTGTATCTGTATTCCATCACTTTTAAAGAGAAAAACAAATGCTCTACAATGTGTATCATACAGCCCTCTACAATGTGTATCATACAGCCCTCTACAATGTTTATCATACAGCCCTCTACAATGTGTATCATACAGCCCTCTACAATGAGTATCATACAGCCCTCTACAATGTGTATCATTCAGCCCTCAACAATGTGTATCATACAGCTCTCAACAATGTGTATCATACGGCCCTCAACAATGTGTATCATTCAGCCATCTACAATGAGTTCCATACAGCCCTCTACAATGTGTATCATACAGTCCTCTACAATGTGTATCATGCAGCTCAATACACATTGTAGAGGGCTGTAAAATCATATTTTTTAAACCAAAACAGTAACAACAAAGGAAACATAATATTGATTTGCATGAAGCAATATCTGATAATTTGACCCAAATGTACTAGAAAAGATCATGATCAACCTACTTCAAGACGATCAATTTGACATTGGTCAGATGAATGAAAATTAAAAATCGTTTCATCAATAACGGTTTAAAAAAATAAAATTATTTATTTTCTAGGAACCGATTGAACTATTTGACATACTTAATTATGGGTGTTAGAAATATATCAAAGTCAATTAAAGATCAATTTTAACAAATGTGTATTCTGATATGATTGTGTATTTATTTGTGGTGTACACAGGCTGCACAAGTTATTAGTAGTCTCACCAGAAGTATTGGAAATAATCTTAAACAAGACAAATATAGATAGATAGAGATGGGTTTAAAAATTATAGTGTTGGTAGTAATATATAGGGATGTTGACATCTATTCATAGTGCTAATATGTTATGACACGGAATAAATGACTGAAATAGATTGAACAAATGTTTATTCATTTTTTTTTCATTATATTATGCAATACATTTTAGGCCAGATATTATACAATACATTTTAGGCCAGCTGTAGGTCACATATTATTTTCCGTTGGGTAAGCTTGATATAGATATTATACATTAAAATTAAATTCTAAACTTAATCAGAAAAAATGCGTTAATAAAGTCCCTTTATCCACAATATTCCAAATCGTTCACGTAGGTACACATAGGTACAAATCGTTCCAATTTAGTCCACTCCAATTACTTTATTTAGCTTACTTTAATTGCTTATGCTTCTAGTTTTCGTTAATTAGGGAACACACTTTCAAGTACAATCCACCAGGGCCACATACTCCATCTACTTTACTGCATTGAAGCGATACGAGTTAGCTACTCAGTAGTCAATTGTATTTAAAAGCTTTCATTGAATATGTTTAATGTTAAAGTTTCATATAATTGAAACATTGTAAGCAATAGTTACTTAAAAAATAAATAAATTTGAAGTCTCTCTTCAGATTATTTAAAAATATAATAGACTTTCAATATCGTCTTTCATGAATGAATAATCTATCCATAGATTTTTTTTTTTTTAAAAATCTTAGAACGAAATTTTTTTTTTTAAATTTAAAGTTGGAAATGTATTGATTTGTTTATTTAAAAATTCGGTTTTATTTATATACATTCATATATATTTAAATAATATTTTTATACTAGTTAGGTTGACGCATAAACTAAACAAAGACTGGTTGAGATGAAGGGGTCGATCAATAAGGATTCAGCTTTTGATGACCGCCCCTGACAAGGTTATATCTGCAAGGAAATGCATTTCGCGTCCTGATGAGAGACAAATCCCGGTTTTAAATTTCAACGTGCTGTTTGTTAAATCCAGGCGCGGCCATTGTTTACACTAACAAGTTAAGCAATAACTCAATAGTGACGGTGATGATGTGAGTCATCATATTCGGAACGTCATTCTAAAGCATTGTGGACGTTAATTTCAGTGTGGAAATTTTTAATGAAGTTGTGTTTTATTAGTACCAATGGTAATTATTTGAAAAAGTGTGTCATGTAATTCTAACAAGAAGTTTTTTGAAGAACAGCTAACTCAACTACCAATCAAGCCAAATCAACTACCAATCAAGCCAATTCAACTACCAATCAAGCCAATTCAACTACCAATCAAGCCAAATCAACTACCAAACAAGCAAAATCAACTACCAATCAAGCCAATTCAACAATACGACTCAAGCCAAATCAACTACAACTCAAGTCAAATCAATTACCACTCAAGCCAAATCAACTACAACCTAATTAAAATAAATTACACTTAAGCACAATCAACTACAACCAAATTCAAATCAACTACCACTCAAGCCAAATCAACTACAACCAAATTCAAATAAACTACCACTCAAGCCAAATCAACTACAAGCAAATTCAAATCAACTACCACTCAAGCTAAATCAACTACAAGCAAATTCAAATCAACTACCACTCAAGCCAAATCAACTACAAGCAAATTCAAATCAACTACCACTCAAGCCAAATCAACTACAAGCAAATTTAAATAAACTACAACTCAAGCCAAATCAACTACCACTCAAGCCAAATCAACTACCACTCAAGCCAAATCAACTACCACTCAAGCTAAATCAACTACCACTCAGGCCAAATCAACTACCACTCAAGCCAATTCAGCTAAAACTCAAGCCCAGATATCTCAAACTCAAAACAACATTATTAAAACTCAAGCAAAACCCCTTCGGCTCAAAACGCATCTGTTCTAACCTAATCCACAATGACTATCACTCAAAGTGAAACATATTTCCACCCAAGCCCCACATCCTACCATTCAAGCCACAATTACTCTCATTAAAATAATTCATCTTAACATCCAAGCCATACATCCTCCCATCCAAGCCATAAATCCTCCCATCCAAGCCATACATCCTCCCATCCAAGCAATAAATCCTCCCATCCAAGCCATACATCCTCTCATCTAAGCCATACATCTTCCCATCCAAGCCATACATCCTCCGATCCAAGCCATACATCTTCCCATCCAAGCCATACATCCTCTCATCAAAGCCATTCATCCTCTCATCAAAGCCATACATCCTCCCATCCAAGCCATACATCCTCTCATCAAAGCCATACATCCTCCCATCCAAGCCATACATCCTCCCATCCAAGCCATACATCCTTCCATCCAAGCCATACTTACTCCCATCCAAGCCATACATCCTGTCATCAAAGCCATACATCCTCCCATCCAAGCCACACATCCTTCATCCAAGACATACATCCTCCCATCCAAGCCATACATTATACCATTCAAGCCATTACTTCCTCCCATCCAAGCCATACATCATCCCATTCAAGATATGCATTCTCCCATCCAAGCCATACATCCTGCCATCCAAGCATAACATCCTGCCATCCAAGCCATTCATCCTACCTTCCGAGCCATACATACTACCATCCAACCCACACATCCTCTCATCAAAGCCATTCATCCTCCCATACAAGCCATACATCCTGCCATCCAAGCGAAACATCCTACCATCCAAGTCATACATCCTACCATCCAAGCCACACATCCTCCCATCCAAACAGCACATCCTCCCATAGAAGCAACACATCCTCTTATTCAAGAAACACATCCTCCCATCCAAGCAACACATCCTCCCATCCAATCAACACATCCTCCCATCCAAGCAACACATCCTCCCATCCAAGCAACACTTCCTCCCATCCAAGCTATACATCCTCCCATCCAAGCCATACATCCTCCCATCCAAGCCATACATCCTCCCATCCAAGCCATACATCCTCCCATCCAAGCAACACATCCTCCCATCCAAGCAAAACATCCTCCCATCCAAGCCATACATCCTCCCATCCACGCCACACATCCTCCCATCCAAGCCACACATCCTCCCATCCAAGCCAAACATCTTCTCATCCAAGCCTTACATCCTCCCATCAAAGCCACACATCCTCCCATCCAAGCCATACATCCTCCCATTCAAGCCACACATCATCCCATCCAAGCCATACATCCTCCCATCCAAGCCATACATCCTCCCATCCAAGCCATACATCCTCCCATCCAAGCCACACATCCTCCCATCCAAGCAACACATCCTCCCATCCAAGCCACACATCCTCCCATCCAAGCCACACATCCTCTCATCCAAGCCACACATCCTCCCATCCAAGCAATACATCCTCCCATTCAAGCCACACATCATCCCATCCAAGCCATATATCCTCCTATCCAAGCCATACATCCTCCCATCCAAGCCATACATCCTCCCATCCAAGCCATACATCCTCCCATCCAAGCCATACATCCTCCCATCCAAGCCATACATCCTCCCATCCAAGCCAT